TGACACCAAACAGAGGCAGGAGTGGACTACAGGTCTGCATGCATTATGATTTGGCTTTTTGATCATTTTTGTCAGGTGTTCTGTAAATTGTAGGGAGTTTGAAGATGTTTATTTCCCTGTCTAGTTTGCCTTTCTTCAAGAGACACCTTGTTCATCAGGACACTTTTCTTTACATTTACAATTGGCCATTGTTGTTGTGTAAAAAAAAGAAATCATCACTTGTCACTGTGGTTTGGAAACGCCTTTGTTAGTGGAAACCTGTGGCATTTCGAAGGTTGACTTTTTACTCGCTGGGTGTTTTGTGAGACTTTCTAAAATGAAGCTGCACAGGGAAACTTTTGAACTTACCTAGGTAACTTTCACCTGGTGGATAATAAAACAGGTGAAAAAAATCCCATAAACTTAAGCCTCAATTATCATAGAGACTTGAAGATGGGCATTTTTATAGACTTGGGCCTGAAAGCAATTACCAAGAAACCACCCACAACACCAGAGCAACTGCATAGCAAAAGGCTAAAACCATCTTAGAATACCTTGACACCAATCAATTTTTTTTTTCCAAAAATTTTGCATTTATAGTATTGCTTTTTTTCCGCCAGCTATCCAAACAGCCATCCGGCTGCATGTGGAGGGTAAAACTTCTCTTCATAAGGACCTAAAGCTGAAACGGCGTGAGCAGCGGGAACAGAGAGAGAAGAGGCGGGAGGCGAAGGAGCAGGAGCTGCAGCGCTTACGGGCTCTGCAGGAGGAGCGCGAGCGGAAGATGGCAGAGCTGGAGCTGCTGAAGGAGGCGCAGAGGCAGGCGCAGGCACTGCTGGAGCAGGACGAACTCCGCAGACGACAGCAACACGAACAACTCCAGCAGGCCCTGGAGATCCAGCTCAAAGAGGCTGAAGAGGTTTTCTATCCATCTATCTATCTATCTATCTATCTATCTATCTATCTGTCTATCTATCTATCTATCTATCTATCTGTCTATCTATCTATCTATCTGTCTATCTGTCTTTCTATCTATCTATCTATCCTGTGTGCAGGCGCGGGCGAGCATGCAGGCTGAGATGGTACTGAAAGAGGCTGAGGCTGAGAGACAGAGAAAACGAATCAAAGAACTGGAGGCCATGCAGCAGCGGCTAGAGGAGGCATTACAACAGGAAATCAAAGCCAGGCAGGACGAAGAGGCCTTCCGCTACGCACAGGCTCGGTGAGCAGCAGCACACAAACACTGTTGAGCAACGCACCCATGCTCAGTTTCGCACACAAACACACTGATGTTATAACAGGGCTTTTCAGTGGCACATCTGCAGACTGTTTGGTGCCCTCTTTGCATTTTCTATTAAACGTGCTGGGTTGTGTCTCACAAAACAAGGTGCTAAAACACTTTAGTACTAATCAGGGAGGAAATATAATGTTTTAAAAGCTCTCCCATGTAAAATTGCATGAGGTTATGCAGGAATTAATGAAGAGGAAGTTACCAGAGGAAGTAATGGACAGAAGAGGCTCTTTTAACAAATATATTTGTTCAGAGAAATGAATGTATGCATAATAATGATATATAATATATACAAATAAAACCTGTTTCTAGGTCAGTAAATACAATATGACTCTACTACTGTTACAAATCTATTCATTCTACAATACATGCATGCAATATGCCATTGTAAGCAAAAAACACTTTAAATATTAATATACAGCTGAGTGCACATTTAATCTGAGACCACACTGAATATAAAGTGTTACGATTTTTTAAAAAGATTTTAGACAAAGAAATTACGTGACAAATGTAAAATTAATGATAAAATATTTAAGATTCTGCAGTATTTCTAGGTCACTAATGAAATGAAAAAGCAAATTTGTGCCACATCAGAAGTTCTTCTATCCAGTGAAGCACTTCATTTTCACATAAACATTTTTCTCAAATTATTATGCTAATAAAACATGCCTAATTTGAACACACTATTGCTATTTTAACCTGCATTGTGCTTGATCTCTTACTGCCTCATTGTTACAGGCTACTGGCTGAGGAAGAGGAGAAGATGAAGGCCCTTATGTCTCTCCGTGAGGAGCAGGAGGAATATATCCAGCGTGCCCAGCGGGAGAAACAAGAGCTCAAACAGGAAATGGAAAGTAAGTCTCGAGCTCTGGGGGAGGCACAGAGGCAGCTGGAGGAGGTCCGAGCCAATCGCCACCGAGTGGACCAGGATGTGGTGGTGAGTTTTGCAACGGTGTTTTGATCTAAACAAGGGCAGAGAGATTAGCTCAGATTTATATATTATAGTTTGTATGGTTTTTGGCTTTGTTGTTGTTTTTAATGCAGGACCCTACATTACCATTAATGAAAGACCTACACCACCATTTTAAAGTGTTTGTTTGTTTTTGTATTTATTGAAGAAATTAATACTTTTGTTGATAAAGACCTACACTGTCATTTTACAGTGTTTGTTTGTTTATGTATTTATTAAAGAAATTAATACTTTTATTCAACAGAAATGTATGCATTAAATTGATCAAAAGTGACAGTAAAGACATTAACATTTTTTTAATTCAAATCAAAAAATGCATCACGGTTTCCACAAAAAATTAAGCAGCACAATTGTTTGTGATATTAATAAGAAATGTTTATTGAGCACCAAATCAGCATATTATAATGATTTCTGGAGGATCATGTGACACTGAAGTTACAGTGAGTCACTGATTAAAATTTTTTATATATACTTTTATTTATTTATTTTTATCAAATAAATGCAGCCTTGGTGTGCATAAGAGATTTGTTTCAAAAACATTAAAGGGATAGTTCACCCAAAAATGAAAATTCTGTCATTAATTACTCACCCTCGTGTCGTTCCAAACCTGTAAGACCTTCGTAAAATTACGGATGAACCCCTGATGTCACATGGATTATTTTACCGATGTCCTTGCTATGTTTCTGTGCGTTGATCGTGGTAATATCCTTGCTGTCTATGGAGGGTCAGAGAGCTCTCAGATTCCATCAAAAATATCTTAATTTGTGTTCCGAAGATGAACAAAGGTCTTATGGGTTTGGAACGACATGAGGGTGAGTAATTAATGACAGAATTTTCATTTTTGGGTGAACTAACCCTTTAAACAATTTTACCAAACCCAAAACTTCTGAACATTAGTGTATTTTTGCAATACCTTCATTAATAATATTTTCAGTTAATGTACTGATGCTGACATTAGCTGATGATGACATAAGTCTGTATTGTTTTATTCTGACAGGCTGCTCAAAGGAAGCTTCGTCAGGCCAGCACCAATGTTAAACACTGGAATGTTCAAATGAACAGATTAATGCATCCTATTGGACCAGGAGGTATGCACATTACCTTAGGGTTAGGTTAGTTTCAAGACACAATACACAATCTAATTCACACTGTTTACCTTTAACAAGACTAACCTCATCAGCTCTTATGCTTCATGGTTTGAATTTGGCTGATATTGAGAAGATTCATCTAAAACTTTATATATGTAATCAAGATCTTTGGATTAACTTGGCATTTCAGCATAGGTCGAGTAGGAGGTTAATGCAAAGACTGTGAGTGGCATGCAATCTAGGTCTGTTTGCACTACGGTTTCAGAGAAAAAAATGCACATAACCTCATTCCCTTAAGACAGCTCCTTTAATATAATTCACCCTTGTTTTTCTGATTTCACAATAAATACACTCCCTCTAACTTCCCTATATTTTTTTGCTTGTGTCGTCATCTAGAAAAACGGCCCTCAGGAAGCGGATCTTTTTCCAGCTTTCGCATTCCTTCGCAGAAGGATCCAGGACTACGTTTGAGGCAGAAATCAGATGAGCAGGATGAGGAAAGCAAAGAAAACATGGAAAGCAGAGGAGGGTGTGAATCTGACAGGCGTTTGTCTACAAATGGAAATATGGAAATACCTTAACCTCAGAAGAAAAATAAAATCTCTCTTCCTCAATGTTAAGACTGATTTGAATGAAGGAAAGTTATTTTTGCTAGATGCCAAGACCTCATGACATTAAAAAAGGATACTTTTTCATATTGTCAGTGTTTGTTAATAGCTTGTTATTAAATAGTAATGTTTTGTACACCTCACACTGTTTGAAAAGTATTGTACTGTAGTTGTTAAATTGACTGCTTGAGTTGATTGACTCCTAAGTTACTCAAAACCTTATATAGACTAAATGTACACTGAATAAATATCAAGCATTTTTTCAGGATGTTTTATTGTGGTGAATTCAAAAAGGATCAGATGGTCAGAATGTGTTCATGCGTGTAAACTAGATTTCTTGCGAGGGAGGAACATGTTGAAGAGCTGAAGCTCTGTGGTTTTGACAACTTCCTGCTTCTGCAGTCAGATAACAAACCCATGAAGACAACTGATGGCACACACATGTACCTTAGAGATAAATTTATGCTTAAAATCATAGTGTATCAGCTATTCCCCAAGTACACGTTTAAAAGCATTTTTATGCAAATTTAGAACCTGGTAGAGTGCTTAAGCACACAGGAAATTTGACTTTTTTTAACATAAACGTCTGGTACTCACAGAATATCAATCTACACAAAGAAAAACAGAAGTACAGAAGAAGAGCTTTTACAGAATGAAAAGTATATATGTACAGAGAACTGATATACTGTGCAGAGGTGTATATGTGTGTGCAGAGAGTACAGATAATATGACACAAATGTCAAATGAGAAAAATGAGTGAATTGAAAATTGCACACATGGGTTTGTAATGGTATGAAAAAAAAATATATACTGCACAGAAATTCTGTAATGCACGATGTGGAAATATTTATAAAGCGTTTCCAAGAATAGTTTACTGCCAAGCCATTGTTATTTTTCATACATGATTCTACAGATCCAGTTCAGATTTGTAAACGCAAGAAATCGAAACGGAGGCACCTGCTGTTTGGCAATGGTTCCTACAACTGACCGTTTCTGCGTTATAAGCATAGACTGTATGGTTATAATACATCCGCGACACCGGGTGGCGGTAAGGATCGCAGAAAACTTATAGAACCTCATTTTAACCCGGAAAAAATAACCTGGAACAGTAGCTGTCTCGAAACAGCTTCTGAGTACAGAGAATCGGGGAAAATGGCTTCACGCCTGAGCCGGTTCTGGCCCACCCTGTCCCGGGTTCGGTTGAGCTCGGCGCTCGGGAGCCGCTGTGTGTCGCAGACGCCGAATTCCAGCGCGTCTGGAGCGGCGGTGGCGTCTGATCTGCAGCCCGTGTCTCCCGCTGCTCAGGACAGTCATGGACACGCAGAGGTCAGCCCGTTTGAGAAGGTAAGAGGACCACAAACTCATGTGTATGATGCACGGAAAGTAATTAGCAGTGGGTTAATTGACACGCGGGGGCTGCTCAATAAAATCTTAGTCTAAACTGTATGAAGTTTGACGTGCTTTGACAGGTACATGTTTACATTGTGCACTGTATGATCCAACTCCATTTTTTTATTTATTATATGCATGGTATTGTATATTGCAAAGATGTGCCTGCTATGTTTCTGTTCTGTTCTGTTGCTGCAGTGATGTTTGTGTTAACTTGTTTAAGTTTATAAATGGCAAATGTTCATCTTTATCTTTTCAGAATCCAGATTTCCATGGCTTCCATCATCATGACTCTTTTGTGGATGAATGGAACATGAGGTTGGCATTTTTCTTTGGCATTTCTGTGGCCATTGTTGTTGGAGGGACTTTCATCCACTATTTACCAGATCATGGGTAAGTGCATGATTGAAAGGGCTCTAAATTTTGCACAGAATACAGTGATTGACCAATTACAATCTAATATCCTTAATACATATGTTTTTATATGTCATGAGTGAACCATCAAATTTATAACTCAATTGTGAAACTCCTACTTTTCACTACTATGCAATTATATTTTGCACATTACTTCAACTGAAAAGTTTTGGAATGTATTATTCTATACTGTAGATATTTGGGAAGAGTTCTGAGGACAGATAATATCTATATCGATTATCCAGTCTGTATGAAGAAGAGCATGATAACATTCTTGAGGACTTTGTGCTGAAATTGTTCAAAAGGTTAAAAAAAAACTAGGCATAAGACGAGGTCCCCAATAAACATGTGTAAGGGTTTATCTTGATTTTAAGACATAAATCTAAATTTTGAAGCTTGTAAAAAAAGCATTTAGCTATTAAATAGTGCAATGTAGAGGGTGAATTTGCTGCTTATATATCATTGTAATTTAAAGCTATTTGTATCTTGACCTACATTAATTGGCTAATTAATGGTTTGCTTAGATGCATTGGTCTCCAAGTGTGCATTTTACAAGTGTTGTTTTATTTAATCTGAAGGAGTAATGGTTTGCCATTTTCTTTAATCTAATGTCCATAATCTCCGTCTCTATCATGTTTTTCTCCTCCAGTATGAGGCAGTGGTCTCGCCGGGAAGCTGAAAGGTTGATCAAACAGAGGGAAGCCGAGGGTCTTCACCTCATGACTGAAAATTATTACGATCCCAGCACGATTGTTCTGCCCTCCTCTGGAGAGTAGACAACATTTTGTCAATAATTTTTCTGTTAATTTGTCTTTCGTTGTACATTTGTCTCCCTTCAACTATAATGTAATAAAAAATGTTATAATATAGTGGTTTGTGGTATTTTTAACTAATACTTGAAAAAGCATGAACCTGTAGAATTAGCTTTTTGTTTGCAAACGTATGGGTGTAACAAAGTTGAGTGTTTATGCATGTTTGTGCACATTTTATGTAATCTTTCTTATTTTAATGATTGCACTATTAACATGTAAGCATGTAAGGCTAAGAATTACAGACAGGGCCAAAGTATTTCTATGCTGTACAACAACTGAAAGTTGCTGGTTTGTGGTGCAATATAATGTTGGGCATATAATCTAAAATATAAAAAAAAAATTGGTATGTATTCTACCTCGGCTAAAATGTCAAGAAAGTAATGTTTTAAACAGGATTGTGAAAATGCAGAATCTAAAGAGAATATGTGTTTCAAAATTACATCAACACTTCAGATCTTAATTTTCTGGACATTTCAAGTCCAGATGATAAGAAAAAGTCATCTTTTTTTTATTTAAATTATTATATTTATCGGTATCTTTAGACTATTTTCATAAGAAACTAAACTAAAATGATGAATGTTGTCTTAAAACAGAAACGGAACATTTAATGCATTGTGTTGTTTTTATGAAGAAGCCACATATATCAGTCATTCAATATTTTTTATTAAAGAAACAGAAATACTGTACACCTTCAGTGGAACATGAAAGAGCATCTAGACAAGACTTTACATTAAAAAGCAGATATATATATATATAGTATAATTAAGTAAATTGAACCCCATCAATATTATCTCCAAACATTCCTTACACTGTTTTAGGACTCATATTTTATATTGTTATTTAAATTAAGAGATATGAGAAGAAAGTACGGAAGTTCTAAGCGGCCATGCAATAATATTTTTTTTCCTTCTCGTTTTCTTGTTATAACGACTTAATTTTCTCGTGATATCGACATAACGAGAGTTGTTTTCTCGTTATGCTGTTCTCCTGCGAGGGGCTACTGGCTTTGGACGTCACTCCAGCGTCTCTGCCTCTGATTGGTGGAAACGACGAGAATGGGCGTGTCTTAGCGGCGTGGCACTGTCTGCGGGGCGGGGCCTTGGGGTCGTACAGGAAAAGATAAAGAAAGCGAGGACATCTGAAACAAAAACGGTAAATAAATACTCACACAAAAACACCTCTGATATTTACAATCGATATGTTTATTTCTTTCCCATACGGTCTAGAGCCAATACAACAGATTAGCATTTTTAAAAACCGCTCCAGTGAGATAAAAGATGCCTTTCATATGCGGCTAGCTCAGTGCTAAACGGCTAAGTGTGATGATGACGGAAACGGACGAACAACAAGATGCCGAACATGAGTTCATAATTGCATTAAACTCCGATGATCGCGAATGTAACACGTCTGGAAAGTTTAATACTAGAATTGATTTGTGGATCTAGTCGAATCTAATCCAAACGGTGCTCATTTTACACTTATTAGGCCGTGAGATGAGGCGTCCCAGTTAGCATAGGGAGTAAACCAAACCGGGGACATGCGGCTGTTATAATCACCATCTCTAATTTTTTTTCTGCAATATAACACTCAGCCCTTTAAACGGCTATTTTATCCCTCATTAAGCCTTCACTCTCGTTGAATCAATGGTTGACTCATTGTTAAACTATAAAAGGTCACTTGAGCGACATTATTTTGACCCGACTGCAGTCAGCTGTTTCACAGTGAGTCCAAATGTATGTGTAATGCTTTAATGTGTGTTTTGCCGGCGTTGATAAGTGAATTGAGCAGGGTGCGGTGTGTTGTGACAGCAGCTGGGAGGTGTGTGTGTGAGAGAGAGGAGGGGTTGATACTGCAGTGCTATAATGACACAAGAACAATGTGTACAGATTATTAAAATGGCTGAAATATGAATGTAGACATGGGGGAAAAACCCTAATGAGCTCACTTGTTTTATTTTGAAATATAAGACAGAAAAGGCCTGAGATACTTTACTTGTTTCTAACTAAAAGCAATCAAGTTGTTTCACAAGGAACAGCACCATAGACCCCTGTTATTCCTAATGAGCCCACTGAGACTGCTATGAAAAGGCATTAGCTGAATTAAATGTGCTCACAACACAAGCTTTTCATTTATGAACATTACTCGCATTGTTTTCATTGTGGAGATGGATGCTGAATGAAAAATACTGAAACTGTAATCCATATTTGTCAATTTCAATCAGTAGTAATTTCATAAAAAATGTAGATTCATCAAAATTGTTTAATGCTTGTTTCTAACTCAAAGCACTCAAAAGAAAAACATGTCTTAGTATCCACAATGATTAAAAAAGGGTTGATAAAGTGACAGTGAAAGTGACGTGACATGTGGCCAAGTATGGTGACCCATACTTGGAATTTGTGCTCTGCATTTAACCCATCCAAAGTGCACACACACAGCAGTGAACACACACACACCGTGAGCACACACTCGGAGCAGTGGGTAGCCATTTAAGCTGCGGCGCCCGGGGAGCAGTTGGGGGTTCGGTGCCTTGCTCAAGGGCACCTCAGTCGTGGTATTGAAGGTGGAAGAGAGCGCTGTACATTCACTCCCCCCACCTACAATCCCTGCCAGTACGAGACTCGAACCCGCAACCTTTGGGTTACGAGTCCGACTCTAACCATTACGCCATGACTTCCCACTTATAAATGCAATCTGGATATTTGAATACATGGATTTCATAAAAATATGGAGTTGCCAGTAGACCAACAAAAATAAACATTTATAACATATTTAATAAGCTTCTTCAGGTGAAAAAGATGCTCATGCTCTTTGTGTAATTAAAATTCATAGATATAACTTCTTTTTGTCAAGTTGGTTTCACACCATTGGCTCCTATTGTTCTTAATAAGCCACCTAAGACTCATATAAATAGCATTAACTGAACCAGTAGTGCTCACAACACACTCTTGTAAGTCATGAACTTTACCCACTTACATTATTTTCATTGTGGGGACAAAAGTGATGATTGTTGAATATCAAATGCTAAAATTAAATGCATCCATTCTGAGGTTGGTTGCAAGTTCCACTCCAGACTCATGTTTGCAAATAAAGCTTTTAATTTTGTTGGTTTATGACAACATACGTTTTTAGATAAGAGATTATTATATTTGATTTAATACTGTTTTTGAGAATTTGTAATATTTCTGAATCATATTTGATCAAGACAGAGTATCATAGAATTGGTTCCTGTTATGTTTTTCAGTTACTTTAGAATTCTGTACAAACACTGATACATCAGAATCATGACAATATTGATATAGTTAAATAATACTGCTGTATGCCTGGTTTATATATTTTTTCAAGAATGTCTGGAGTACTTCCACCTCAGAATTGCTCTTCCACATGAAACAGTAGAGGGCAGACATACACAAACAATTCTCTATTTATCAAAAAAACTATTTCCACCTGCCTCCTGTAATTATTGGCTGATCTTTTCATTTTGTGTGACAGATGACTGCAATTCGTAAGAAGCTTGTAATCGTTGGGGATGGAGCATGTGGAAAGACGTGTTTACTCATCGTTTTCAGTAAAGACCAGTTTCCTGAGGTCTACGTACCCACAGTGTTCGAGAACTATGTTGCTGATATTGAGGTGGACAGCAAACAGGTAAGAATGTCATCAAAGCCAGAATCACCGCTGGTCTATTACAGCATTCACGTGTCTCTTCTGTAGCTATTTGAACTTTTGAAACAAGTAACTTCCTCAGAATGTTCATAAACGTCTTAAAGGGATACTCCACCCCAAAATAAAAATGTTGTCAGTGATTGACTGCCTAGTAAATTACACTGTCAAGGTCCAGAAAAGTATGAAAGACATCTTCAGAATAGTCCATCTGCAATCAGTGGTTCAACCGTAACGTTATGAAGCGACGAGAATACTTTTTGTACGCGACGAAAACAACGACTTTATTCAACAATTCGTCTCCTCTGTCTCTCCGCATCACTGTAGTGCCATTTTGGAGAATATGTGCTGAACGCAAGCAGCGTACGCTCTTCTGTGTCAGCCGCACTGCACGGATGTGCTGTTTTCGTTCAAATCAAAGTCTAAATACACGTAAAAATGTATACTTGTGTCGCGGCTGACACAGAATACTTTTACAGAATACTGACACATACTTTTCTGGACCTTGACAGTGTAATTTACTTGGCAGTCAATGGGACAGTCACAAGCCTCCTGGTTTTCATCCAAAATATCTTAAATTGTGTTCTGAAGACGAACAAAGCTTTTAGGGGTTTGGAACGACATGGGGGTAAGTGATTAATGACAAAATTTTCATTTTGGGGTGGAGTATCCCTTTAATAGAGTTCTTCCTGTATTCTTATTTTTGCATTTTTATGTAGTCTTTTGATTGTCTTTTGCTTGTGTTGGAAAGCATTGTGTGCATCTGTGTTAATGATTAACTACAATCAAAATAATATGTATATTTATATAAATACATTTATTCATATGAACACATTATAGAAATATAGTTAAAATATACAATATTCAACATACACTACCATTCAAAATCTTGGGGTCTGTAAGATTTTTAAATGTTTTTGAAAGAAGTCTCTTATGTTTACCAAGGCTGCACTTATTTGATTGAAAAATGTAGTATTACAATTTAAAAACAATTTTCTATTTCTAATACATTTGTAATTTATTAATGTGATGGCAAAGCTGAATTTTCAGCGTTATTACTCCAGTACTCCAGTCACATGATCCTTCAGAAATCATTCTAATATGCTGATTTGCTGCTCAAACATTTCTTATTATTATCAATATTGAAAACAGTTGTGCTGCTCAATATGTTTGTGGAAACTGTGATACATTTTTTTTAGGATTCTTCTTCAGCATTTACATGAAACAGCAATCTATTATAACATTATAAATGTCTTTACTGTTGCTTTTGACCAGTTTAATGCATCCTTGCTGAATAAAATATTAATTTCTTTAAAACAATCTTACAAACCCCAAACTTTTGAATGGTAGTTAACTATATATAAAAATTGCGTGTATTTTTGAGAATAATATTTTTATGAATTTGGCATTATTCAAATTTGTGACACTGAACATGTGGACGTTGGATCATTCTCAAATATGATCATGAGACTTTACACAAACTTGTGGCAAATTTTTTTACACAAGCTCGAGTGCTGCTAAATGCTTAGAAATTCATGTTCATTTGTTCAATCACCGTTTACACAAATTGTTATGCTGATAATATAATTTTTAACCATTTGTTGGCAGGTGGAACTGGCTCTATGGGATACAGCTGGACAAGAGGACTACGACAGGCTGAGGCCCCTGTCCTACCCAGACACTGATGTCATCCTCATGTGCTTTTCCGTAGACAGCCCTGACAGTTTGGGTGAGATCATCTTTTCTGGAGTGGCCAGTCTTTAATATTAATTATATTTCGGCCTAATTTCAGTCTTTAAATATTTTATAGTGTAAGACCACATTCCTGTGGTTACTCTATTGAAAGCCATACTCTATTCACACAGAGAATATCCCAGAAAAATGGACGCCGGAGGTAAAACATTTCTGTCCAAATGTGCCAATAATTCTGGTGGGTAATAAAAAAGATTTACGGAATGATGATCACACTCGACGGGAGCTGCAGAAGATGAAACAGGTGTGTGGGCTAACACTTTCTTTTTTTTTATAAAACAGTTACTATATTTTTTATGGAAATAACATAAAAAGTTAGACAAATTGCTGTTACTGCTGTGTTGTAGCGTTATGTTATAATGTACGAATGCCCCGTCAATGCTTTCTCCCTTGAACAGGAACCAGTTAAACCAGAGGAAGGGCGAGACATGGCTAATCGCATCAATGCCTTCGGCTACCTTGAGTGTTCGGCTAAAACTAAGGAGGGCGTGAGGGAAGTGTTCGAAATGGCCACAAGAGCAGCGCTCCAAGCCAAAAAACGTGGCAAGAAGAATCCCTGCGCTTTGCTATAGAGAGGAAAACGAGAGAGGAAAAGAAAAGAATGAGGGAGGGAAAGGGGTAACCAAACTAGGCCAAGGAAAATGAAAGAGCTATAAAAGTTCGCAAATAGAGGGAAGAAACGCCCCTAGTGTTAATTATGTACTCGGGGGTCAGGGAGGGTCATTTTCAATCCAGGCCAAAGGAAACTACAGAAGATTGTAGGGACAACTGCACCGGCAAAAAGGGACTTCAACATTTTTATGGCCATCAGTCCTCTTTCAAATCAAGATTAGTGACCTTAAGCCTTCAGACTGATCACAAGTGTAAGGATAGTGTATATGTAGGGTAAAGATTGACATGGTTTCACAGTGGCTCACAATCACTGATTGCTTTTGGGGTGGGATTATATGCGATGTATTCTTTGGCCCGTACCACATCTTCTGCTTAGAAGGTCAGCACTGTTAGCAAGAACAGAAACAAACGACTTGGTCTAAAAAGATTCCTTTTTTGGCACTAAGTGCATTATTCAGGGTGTAAAAGGCATTAGTTAGTACCCTACATCATATATGCTACATGTCAAGCAGGGAGTTGTTTTTGGGATCAAGACATTGACTCCCGTGATCCCCTTTATAAACCTCCCAGGAACCCAGTGCCGTCTTATGTAAAACATTCACGCCTGTCCTTCGTACTATGATTTTCTGTTTAATGATCTTTTTTCTTACGTTAACACGCTAATACTGTTGGTTAACACAACTGGTTCCTCTGTGCCCTCCTGTCCTGTCGCAAAATTGGCGGTTTAGTCACTGGTTTAAAATAGCTGAAAGTAGTGGTAGTCTTACAATTCTTTATTCCAATAAGATTTAAATACATCTTGTACTTTTTTTGCCATTTGCCTATAAAATTCAAAGTAAGATGCATTAAGCAATGATCATACTAATTCACCTTTTTTGTGAGTATTTTATGTGCTTGCTCATGTATTGTAAGTAAAAAAAGAAAAAACTTTGGGTTAATCGGCCCTCATGGAGCTCAAAGCAAAACCACAGCTCTGTATGTTGACTGTCAGACACTGTTCAATTTTTGGCAATATATATATACGTTTTATAAAAGGTGACAGTAACATTATTTTTGCCCGTATTCCTCTTTGCCTGCATGACAGGCTTTTATTTGGTGTGCGGAAATACAAGTGAAATTTCTTTATCTCACTGTATAAATGAGAAACTCCCTCCATTTTCACTCCATTTGTTTTCTTTTTATGATTCCCCTCTTTTTCTCCTGTACTGTATGTTTTTCTTTTTTTTTTTTGTGAAATTCTACTGGCTTATACTATATCATTTTTGCGTATTTTACAAATTCTAGTATCTTAGAATTTAAAAGTTTTAAAAGAAATAAAGAAGGAAAAAAGTAGCGAAAATTTGATTTTGAGAGAGCTGTTTAATGCCATATTATTAAATGCAAGTAATTTCTTAGAAGAGATTCTGCATTTCATTGTAAGAAAAAAAGAGCCTTTGATGCATCAATTATCTTTTGTATACCAGTGCATCTTTGGATTTCCACAGACTCTAATAAATTCTTATAGGGTAACTTTGCTTGGGTCTTTATTCTGTGTCTCTTCTCCGGGTTATGATTGCGTAAAATGTCTTCACCAGCTAGACGTGGTCTTCAGTAAACAAGTACACATGCTGACGATGTTAGGAGTTAAAGGGTTAGTTCACCCAAAAATGAAAATTAGGCTGTGTTTTACTCACCCCAGAGGCATCCTATATCCATATTCAAAACGTAATAATCACTTGAATCTAGCTTGCGCCAACAGTTGTACACGGAAGCAGCTCCGGGCGGATGACGTATGAGGTCAGCGTTGCGCATGCGCCGGTGAGTCTCGTGAAAACCAACGTTTGTTTACAGGATCAAAGGAAGCAAAGTTTCCTTACTTTAGCAAAGGAAAACCAGTCTCCTCTTGGCTTATATTACGTTTTGAATATGGATATTTTTCTTACAAAAACACATCGATTCGCTACAGGAGGCCTTTGTTCACCCCCCGGATCCGTGTGAGACACTTTTTTTATGGATGGGCGCTTTTTATTTCACTTCTTTTGGACTGAAGCACTGCAACACCCGCTGACTGCAATGATAGAGCTTGGAATAGCCAGGACAATTTTTAATATAAATCCGACTGGATTCGTCTGAAAGAAGTAAGTCATATACACCTAGGATGCCTCAGGGGTGAGTAAAACACAGCCTAATTTTCATTTTTGGGTGAACTTAACCTTTAAAAGCGGAGGTAGATAACTAAAATACCAAACTGTTGCAGGCTGACACAAGTCTTAACACCGTCAGTCAGTTTTTACAGTGATCTGTGCAATCCAGCCACAAATTCGTGATAATAGTGCTCTGAAATGAGAGAAAAACGTAAGTCACAGCCTATCTCATGTTAAACTTTTCATTTAAAAGTACATGCTATCAAGGTTCTAATCTCAAAATCTGACCTCCAGTGTGTAACAAACCTGAGTCTGGCTCAATGATGGCATGTCTGATGAGGAAGTCCAGAACCACCATGGCACAGTTTGGCTTAAACTCCTCACTGACCAAGAGATCTTTCACCTGAAATCAACAAATGACACAGAGGAGAATCAATGGGGGTAAGATGTGTCACCCCTTAGTCTAGGAAACCGCACATATTTTAGAAAGCTGCCTGAGAGAAAAGTAACCATTTTTAATGCTAAAACACTTTTTTCTGCATGTCAAAGTACAAGCAAACGTGTATATCACAGCTATTCTTATATAAAACACATCACATAGCATTCAAACCTAAAATCAATGGGATGCCTTCACCTTCTCTATTGGATAGTAGTAAAACGCTTGCACTTCTCCGTCTCCAATGTGAGGCTGAAAATTGAGAGGCAGCTCTAAATCAAAGACAAACTGACACTCAGGAAATATTCCTTCGTCATCTTCGTAGGTGTAGCTACAGAGAAGACACAGGGAGGCATGAATTGGAGATTGAAGATCGCAGAACCTCTTTCAATTTAGCTAAACATAGTAAACAGTTTCCAGGCAGAAATGATGCCTGTGACAGGCATTCATGTCTTTGATCACATTGACGTGTTCTGAGACTGTATAAAACTTGAATTCTGGTCGTCTTCATTTGTGCACAGAGAATATTTCTCTGGAAACCTGCCAGTTGGAAGCTATTTCTGGCATTACTGCTGTATTAATCAGTCTCTCTTGCAGGAGAGTTTATATCTACCCTGGTATCTGGGAAAGGTTCTGAATAGAGAAAAAAATGTAACATGCATCTTTAATCTTAAAATGTAGCAGTTAGCAATTGCTTTTGTGCTTAATAATAAACTACCTTTAATGACCTAACCTAAATAGTGGTATAGAAATAATAATAAAAAATAAAAAAAAAGGATTAAGCACCTCACAGTTCCCACAGGACGCGCTTGCTCTGCCAGGCCCTGAGGGATGCAGGCCTCCTCTTCACACTCTTTTACCATGGTATGCCTTACACTACAGCCTGCTGCCAGTCCTCCAGCCGCCTGAGTGATAAATCAAATCCTTTAAAGACCCCATTACATCAAAATGGGAGGTTTGTGGTTTTTAGTCAGTGTTTGTTAGCTCTGAGGTCATCTTTAAAGGGGTCATATGATGCGATTTCAAGTTTTCCTTTCTCTTTGGAGTGTTACAAGCTGATTGTGCATAGATAAGATCCCTGAAGTTGCAAAGACTAAAGTCTCAAAACCAAAGAGATATTCTTTATCAAAGTTAAGACTCTGCCACGCCCCCCTAAAACGGCTCATTCTAACACGCCCCCACATATCTACCCCACTATGTGGAAATATTTGCATAATCCCGCCGCAAATATAATGATCTTTAAAAAAGCATCATATGACCCCTTTAAAAGCACACTACTAATTTATAGCAGATATATACAATTTATTACTCTGTATATATTTTTATATTAATTATTTTATACACTACTGTTCAAATGTTTGGGATGGGTCGAATATTAAAAAAAAAAAGTCTAATGCTCATCAAGACTGCATTTATTTGATTACAATACAGTAAAATAGTGAAATATTTTTACAATTTAAAATAACTGTTTTCTATTTTAATATATTTTTTAAAATGTAATTTATTACCGTGTTGGTAAGCCTGAATTTTCTGCAGGCATTACTTCAGTCTTCCGTGTCACATGATCTGAAATCATTCAAATATGCTAATTTGGTGCACAAGATTTTTTTATTTATTTATTTTTTATTATCAATGTTGAAAACGGTTGTGCTGCTCAACTGGATTCTCTGATGAATAAAAAGTTCAAAGAACAGCATTTATTTGAAATATAAATCTTTTGTAACATTATAAATGTCTTTACCGTCACGTTAAATAGTTTAATACTTGCTGAACAAAAGTATTAATTAAAACAAATCTTACTGTCCCCAAACTTTTGAACAGAAGTGTATGTTTAAATGGTCCAACTTCCTCAAAAGTCAACGCTTTTTTATTGTCATATATACAGGGTACATCATATTACAATTAAAGTCTTACTTGGGAAATTCCTGCAGGTAAAGACAACAATGCAATGTGCAAAAATTAAAAACAGTGCAAACATAACTTGCGTAAACAACAGACTTACAAAACCCCACACAAAGGCAGAATACAATACATAAGTGTTTAAAATGTTGTATGTACATGAATGTATTAAGTATGTAAAAAATAAGTCATTAAACGGCAGCAATACAAATGTAGCATTAACATAACTGAATGAATCCTTGAGGTAGTACTATATTGAAGTGCAAAGAGTGTTGACGGCAAGTGATACGAAATGAGATATGACTGGTTAAATTAAATGAGCATGTAGTGTGAAGGAGTCGTAGATTTAAGTGTTAAAAGTAACTGTATGATTCAACCTACTGTTGACTCAACCTGTTTGGTGTGGCACTTCTTGTAACGAGCTGATTAATTGGTTTATTAATAAATTACCATGTTGTCAAGTCTTCCTGGATATGTCTGTTTGGTCAGAGATCGTCGTGCCAGCCACATATTAAGGTTGCCACTTGAATCCCGAGTGTAGCCATTGACATGGACGCCGTACCGTTTCACTCCAAACAGACCTGCGTTGACCATTATTTAGAAACAGCTATAAGTGTCACTCTCTGTGACAAAGTAGAAGCATGAAATTAATATTTCATTAACATACTTGTAGCTGCTCTCTCCATATACATCAGCGGAGGGTCGCAATACCTGGGCATCACAGCATATTGCTGAAAATAAAATACACTCTGATAATTCAGAAAAAAACAGAGGCCTTATTTATAAAACGCATGTATGATCGGATCCCAAATTCCATGAAGTTCATCCTATATCAAAAGTGAGGAACAAATCAGGATTTGCAGGAACGGCTATGAAAATTTCTGTATGTATACTCCAACTTAAGGGCACGCGTACACATTTTTGTGCTCATATTTACTAGTAATTAAAGTAATCCAATTTTCATTAAGCAAATAATCCAATCCAATTTCATGTTTATTATAATGCAAAGATAAACAGACAATCACAATATGCATTAATATTATTATAAAATACAAAAATCATTATTTCAGATAGTTTCTAGGGCAATATTTCTCATTTTCCTTTATTTTGATTTGTTTACTTGATGTACTTAACTAAAACTGAAATAAAAATTTATAAAAACTATGTAGACATTTATAAATTAAACAAAAACTACTAAAAAAGACAAAAAGAAACTTGAACTAAAATTTAAATGGAAAAATAAAAATACAAAAATATTCAAAATATGAATAAAACTATAATAGTATCTCAATTACACTAAAGTAGCACTGCAATATATACAGTAGGATGCATTTAGGAAAACATTTTGTGCATATGGACATTTTATAAATTGTTTGTAGGAAAATTTTCGAAAAATTGTCATGCATCCACATTTAGGATCATTCTAAGGGCATCTTTATAAATGAGGCCCCGAAGTATGAAATCACCAAAGTTTTAAAAATGATCCTGTAGTGAATTATTCTGGGTTTTTTATTTAATACAAATTGATGGCATGATGTGTTGTTTTATAGGATTGGGTGAGGGTGGCTTGAAAATCATGTGCACGGAGCAAATAATCCCCATTAATATAAAAAATAAAACATTGCTCATCATTTTTGACATTGGAAGGAACTGACACACAACTGCTCAAGAAGTAAGGATGAAGATGGGCAATTATCCAGCATGCACCATAGATGTCTCACCTCATCTCTCCAGCCTATGAGACAGGTGAATGTTGCCTCTCTCCTCAGCTCCTGCAAGACCTCATCCACAGCCACTGATCTGCTCTCAAAAGTGTCAAGACCGGAGCTGAAGGTTATAGTGCTCCCGTATGGTCTGAAGACAGCAGGAAAACGACCAAGAATTGATGCTACTTTTGGGTAAATCCATCCAACCTGTTCTCCAGCCACCTCAAAACGTAGACAGCTCTCTAAACTAGAACCTGGTGTAAAAGAATGCATTGATGTTGAGTAAATGAATGCATTTGTATATGAATTATACATGTATATTATAGTATTATATATTAGTCAATGATAAACAACAAAAATAACATGTTTTCTTTGTTTTCCTTGAATGCAGGTGTATACAGAAGTTCAAAAAGGTTTTCAAAAAATTGACGGTCACAAATGTACATTAATTATTATTTACAAATATTATTTTTGAGGTTTTCTTGACTTTTTAAGAAATTAAACGTGAGTCATGGATGTCAATAAGTCTTTACTCGTTACAAATCTTTTAATTCATACACTGAAAACATGTTCATAATAAAAATAAGCCTTTGTCAGCATGAGTTGAATTTTAATTTATTTTTACAGATCAAGTAAGCTTTTCATTGACCCTTGACATATGCATTCCTGCTGGATCCCATGCATATGGATTGCTCTGTCATATGATTCTTTTAATATTTCCCCACCTGGTAAATGAAAGTTATTCATTCGACGCAGGAGTTGTAGCATTTTCTCCGACCACGAAGCCATTTTGTCGATTTCACACGTGGAACAGTTAATTGTCCGTTCAGAAAGCGTGCATTATGATTTTGGGGGATTTGCGCTTGATTTGCCGTTGACATGCTGTCATACACCCACGGGCTTCATGCTCGCCTCCATTGTTGCAGTTCCTGTTGATGTGAACGCTGATTGGTTCGCAGGTTCTGCTGATCTGCGCGCTGATTGGTTGAAGCTCTATGACGAGATCTTGAAGGGCTATGACGAGAGTTGCTCATATGTGTTTCTCCACCAGAGGGCGATCAAAACCATGATCAAAACAAAGGCAACTCATAATGTTACTGGACCAAAATACTTTGTATTGAATGCTGAAAGGTCATGTTAGTCCTCCATATGCAATGCAAAACGTTTACTGATCATTTATGTTCTGTTGGTCATCAGTATTTTTTTCGAATTCACATCATATAATCTTTGTGAATCAGCTTTGGCTTGTGGCTTGGCACAGATAGTGAGGTAAAATCGGTTTGTATACCACCCTGTTGGGATTGACAGTATTAGATGAACACGTTTGTTCGTTTATAAGTGACAATTTGGTTAAAACAACCTAATATGAATGGCAAAGTAAGTCATGACCCATTCAGTTTTTCCATTGCAACCCTCTACGCACACCTTGGTAATATAATCGCCATTGGCTAGTACATTTTTTGTTTACTCGCCAGACTGATATACTATTTTACACACACACACACACACACACGTTTACTTAGCTATCTAAATGGGGACATTACATAGACTTCTATTGTTTTTATATACAGATAGTTATACATTTTTAACCTAAACCCCTCACAGAAAACTTCATTTTTACAGTTTCAAAAGTAAAAAAAAAACTTTGTTTACTTTATTTTTATAACAGTTTTACAAATGAGGACATCCACAAATTTAGGTTTTTGCCGATTTTGTCAGGCTTTGCTCACTTTTGGGTACAAATTTGTCCCCAAAATATGGTTAAGTAGGTACACACACACACATATGATTCCACCCAATCAGCTTATCTTTGTAAAATGGAACAGCTTCTTAAATAACTGAATGTGCACTCTTAACTTCAGCCAATCAAGCATTATATTATGATATTATGATAATTAAGCACTATTTAATGATAGAACTAGTGATTAGAACTAAAACTTGGTAACCATGAATGAATGCATATTTGTCATTTTAACTGAACTTAGGACTGGTGGTGGTGTTTAAGATTGGTCATAGGTAATAGTAATAATTATTAAAAGATAATACTACTACTACTACTACTATTATCTGCTGGGTTCATGAATATTAATCACGTTGTCAGCGTTCGCTCGAACTGATTTGCTGAAATCAAAACAGGGACGGTAATAGATGAGCGCCAGCCAACGAGAGCTGTTCGCGCATTAGCTCCGCCCACTGCCGAGAAACCGGCATATCTTCTGCTTGTTCTTAAAAGCTGAATAATTCTAAATGAACTCTGTTATTTTGACAGGAAAATACAACAAAGAATATGCTTTACATGTAGTGCGTCGATTCAGCGTGGTATGCAAGACTCTCGCTCTCTCTCTTTGCATGTGTGAGAAACACAGCGCTATCAGTAAAGCGACGGCGAGTCGTGCGCCTTCACACTAGTTGACGGTACGTCAAATACAGGTGCGCTGCATGCTACATACTGCGCATCCATTGAGTACATGACATGATCCATTGAGCGCATCCAAATAGTACAGATCGCTTGACGGAGAGCGAAACTCTCAAGCGCTCAGTCAGCGTGTTTATCGAGTGAAAATCTGTGTTGAACGCCTCTCACACACATACTGGCGTGTAAAATCTAAGAATTTATTAGCCAATGGCTAATGTTAGACATTATTTAGTCGCCCAGAGTAAGATTTAGTCGCATATGCGAGTGATTTACTCGCAATGTAGAGGGTTGCATTTTTTGGGACTTTACATTGATTGCTCCAGTCTAAAACAAAACCGTGAAATATTAACCACAATTTCCACCAAAATGCCAAACTTAAAAGTTATTTTTTGTTACTACCAGTGCCAAAAATGTCATTCATTCAAACATACACATACACAGTGTTAGGGAAATTCATTCATTCATTCATTCATACATACATACAGTGTTGGGGAAAGTTACTTTTAAAAGTAATGCATTACAATAATGAGTTACTCCTTAAAAAGTAACTAATTGCATACTTAGTTGCTTTGCGTTACATTACTTTTGCGTTACTTTTCCCCATCTGGGCTTGCTTGTATGTTTTTAATATAAAAAAGCTATATTTTTGGCATATGTAAAAACCATATTTAACTTTATTGCATATTTAATTATTGCAGGTTTGCGTCATATTCTAAGTTTGCATTTAAGTTTTTATTAATTTTGAGGAATACTAAATCTGTATTTGTGCAAGTGAAATGAGTAAATGCATGTTCACATTTAGTATAGAGCTACAGTAACCATTGTATTTACACATTGCACTTACTGCAGATTTTTCTCAACATGGGAACTGAGAGCTGTTTGTTAGTCAATAAATGGGAAAACAAAGTAGCTGGTGTTACTTATTTGAAAAAGTAACTTTTACTGTAAATTGAAAACGAATGCATTACTTTACTAGTTGAAAAAAGTAATCTGATTACGTAACTCTGATTAAGTTACTTGTAATGCATTACCCCCCAACACTGTACATACATGCAATCAATCACTCCCCGGAACTGATTTAAAACATGTTCTACCATAGATATTTTTCTAATATGTTAGAAAAAATTGGATTAAAAAAAATAAATAAATAAAACTCACTGCACATTTTAAATATCAGGGGCATTTTTTTGCCTCAAGCTGTGTATCATATCCATGCTCAGGCATAGATATATTAGATATAGCACTGCTTTTGTGCCAGTGAGCAACAGGATTTATCCAAAGCCTAACAAAGAGATCCATTACAGATACAGACAGCGAGAAAGAAGGACAGTAAAAATGTTGGTTATATTGCATCGCTGTAATCTGCACCATAATCTTAGGGTCAGTTCTCCCCCTGAGCACTAAAAATATACAGACAGTAATCACTGTTGTTAGAGGACTGAGAAGCATCTAGTGGTAGGCGGATTTTTAATGAGTCAAGAAAAGCAAACTGTTCCCAAATGCACACAGCTAGAGAAGAGATAAACAGAAGAGATATTTCTTTGCAGGGGTTGCTTTCTATCATTCTGCCTATCTATCTATCTATCTATCTATCTATCTATCTATCGTTCTATCGTTATACAATGATTAGCTGGTTCAGGCAGTGTTTGATTAGAGTTGGAGCTAAACTCTGAAGGAAAGTGACCTGGAAGGGCCAAGTTCGCCCACCCCTGATCTAAACAGTCAATATACTGTAAAACCAAAATGCATTGAGATTCTCTTGTCAGCTGTAAAATCATGACTATCAATGACCGTGACGTCAGATGATGGGGTATTTGTGGAAAACGGGACATCGTGAGAAAATGATGAATCATTCCTGCCATCAGGCAACTCTTATTCAGAATCACATCTGTTGATTTGTCCACATCGGTTCGAGCTGCATGTTCACATGATTTTACTTGACAGTTTTATGTCAAGCCAATATGGACTACCCAGAACACATGGGGATAAGTGTTTTATTAAGATACTCAAAACTGAGACAACTCCCTTTTATTATGTCCTGTTGGCCAAGACTTTTGTGTTTAACTTGCTTTGCCTCAGTAGACTATGGATATGGTAAACTACCATGTACGAGTGTCATAAAACAACAAAAAGAGTGTTGTACGATCAAACAAATACAGAATGATGCTGTATATTTTCTTAGAATTAACTTACTTGGATGCATCAGCTGCTGTTCCCCTAAAGTTCACACAGGTGTCTTTGCGGAGTATGTCATATTAACTATGGGCGATTGATAAGCTCAGAATGGCACAGTACTTTCTGTCTGCATTTTGACCTGTTGAACTTTTTGTGGAATGTTTTGCTTGATTGTGCTTTCTTTCTTTACGATAAATGCCATTGGTCTGATACTATCTTATGAAATGCAATCACGTTCACACATTTTTTTTTTCAAAGTGCATTGTCTCATTTAGGTTAGATTGATAATCTAACCAGTTTGCAGTTCAAGGTTATGCTGATTGCTGAGCCACAGTAAAAGCCCGTTCATACCAAGGATGATAACTGTAATTATAACTATGACTATAAAGCTTTAATAACCATTCATACCAACAGTAAAAACTATATTGGCATCCACATCAGCGGACAATAACATTCTGTTTGCATGCGCTGCAGTTTTGTCATCAGCTGCTTTAAATGCTTGAGCTCTTTAAAGCAGAATGGATTCTGATTTGCTGTCAATGGGTTTATTGTCATTTAAAATCAAAGTGATTTTTATTTGACATTTTTCTGTGTCATTAACCTTGTCAACCCTCTATGCACACCTTGGCAATATAATCGCCATTGGCTAGTAAATTTTTTTGTTTACTCGCCAGACTGATATACTATTTTACACACACACACACACACGCGCGCGCGCGTTTATTTAGCTATCTAAATGGGGACATTACATAGACTTCTATTGTTTTTATGTACAGATAGTTATACACTTTTTAACCTAAACCCACCCCTACCCCTCACAGAAAACTTTCTGCCTTTTTACAATTTCAAAAGTAAAAAAAAACTTTGTTTATTTTTATAACAGTTTTACAAATGAGGACATCCACAAATTTAGGTTTTTGCCGATTTTGTCAGGTTTTGCTCACTTTTGGTTACAAATTTGTCCCCAAAATATGGTTAAGTACACACACACACACACACACATATATGATTCCACCCAATCAGCTTATCTTTGTAAAATGGAACAGCTTCTTAAATAACTGAATGTGCACTCTTAACTTCAGCCAATCAAGCATTATATTATGATAATTAAGCACTATTTAATGATAGAACTAGTGATTAGAACTAAAACTTGGTAACCATGAATGAATGCATATTTGTCATTTTAACTGAACTTAGGACTGGTGGTGGTGTTTAAGATATTGTTGGTCATAGGTAATAGTAATTATTATTAAAATATACTACTACTACTATTATTATCTGCTGGGTTCATGAATATTAATCACGTTGTCAGCGTTCGCTCGAACTGATTTG